GATGCGTTATGAATCATGTACGGGTGGCCAGCGGTCACCTGTTGAACACGTTTAGAATTCGTGTAACCTACCTCTTGGTGTAAACTTGTGTCAACTGCACGTGAAGCTGTAGATCGATAATGTTTGCGAAGAAAAATTTGACTTTTTTCTGTCCGTGGATATCACTCTTCATTTCACTCTTAGCAATTTCACCTCGTTGTCATGCTGAAGATCATTTAGGCGAAGATCTAGACGAGAAAATCGCTTTTGTGGCGGGACAGCAGCAGCCGATGTCATTTGCTCCAGCCTCAGCAAATCATTCCACGGGATACATTGTTTATTGTCCATGTATGGGTAAGTTACCATAATGCTTTGAACACACGTGGATCATAATTTACTTGAGATAACAATATGTATTTATAAATCAAAACATTCACGTTATTTTGATTTCTTCATTACGGTAATCTCAAGTGGTTTGGAGTAACTTGGCAAGCTTAATTGATATCAGCTGATAATGTTTATTCGAGATAAGCTTAAATTAAAAAGATGTGGAAAATATTGGTAATTCAATAATCCTTAACATCAACAAATTAAAATGTTTTCGATTTACGTAGGTTACTGTTCCTCGGTTAGGTGCTGATCGCGGAGAATATTTTTAAGGGGGGTGTTTACAAAGCCACGTGGCAGGCTGCTTTAGGTCGGTATCAGATAGAAACACTTAGAAAAATTCCATGACGTAATGTTAACCTCAGACATAGCCTAAGTGAAAACCATGTTGGGAATTTCTGAGGAAGGAAGAACCCAGAACAAGACCTTGCTTTTAGAAATTATAGCAAACAACTTAGTGGCGGATCTAGGGGAGGCACCACACTTATTTTGGGTGAAAAAAGAAGAAATGACTGAAGGAAGAAAAGCCGGCAGGGCAAGTAAAACTAAACTGGGCCCTCCCCTTAGCTCAAAGTCTGGTTTCAGTCTGAGTTCAACACCTCACTCAGCTGCAATTTGGCCAGATATATTTGCTGTTGCTAGATATTATTGACAAGCTTTGTTTTTTCATGTTGTTTAATATAACAGAGATTTTAAACTTTCAGATATTGTTTTATTGATCTAGTTTGAGTTGAAAAATTTCCTGTACACTTGAGGTGTCTCATACCAGTGACTGGTAGTACTCATAATTTAAATCCAATTTTAAACTTAAGTAAGTAGTGACTACAAGACCTTTGCTCTCTGATATGTATTTCATTATGTCTTAAATCCGAGTGCAGACCTTTTATTGCATTAAGATAACTTTTTTACTCAACCTGCCCAGTGGCCAACATGTTTGCTCGACAGGTAGTATTAATTATTTAGCCTATATGCACCCTGAAAATAAACTTTCCACCTTTTTTTCTCTATTTTCATATTTAAATAACTAATATGTTGTGTATTCAATTTGATGCAGGTAACTTCTCAGAAATTTGAATACTTACACTGTAAGTTTGAAATTGGCAAGGTCACACCTAATGCAAGCTGTTGAGTAATTTTCATGTAGGGAAGACTTTCAGTGCTGATGAATGGTACAATTTGATTGATCAAAGTGCAGTACAAAAAATGAGTGGTGAAAGGATAGACTACCTGTATTTCGCTAAATTTTAAATTTATTAGTTACCCTCCCTCTCCCACACAGTCAAACTATAGCCTTATGGGCTGCCACTCTGAGTTAAGTTCTATCTCAAATTATGTGCTCCTGGGAAATAAATAGTCCTCATAGCCAGAAGGTTTAAGAGTGGATTTACATTGCTTCCTGATTGCAAGTCATCAGTTATACATGTATTATCAGTTTGACAAGAAAGGTATATTGTTAAATTATTGAGGGGGTCGTAAGGGGGGTCTGAAAACCACAAAACCGCACAGAAATACGCCAAGAAACCGCAAACTGCATCGGATTTTTTCCCGAATACCGAAACCGCTTGTACATAGAGGCCACAATATGATTGTTGAC